TATATACAATAAAAGATAAAGATGCAAATTGACGATACCTTCATGATGCCCCACCAGCCAATCAGGAGTGAGTATGCAAATTAATCCAACAAAGATGGCAAGTTAATTTGCATATGCAGGCACTGGGCAGCTGGGGGCGGGGCAGGACACAGGCATTCTGTAGTGCCCCAGCTGCTCCAGGCCTCTGGGCAGCATGGGAAGGCAGAAAGGCGGCTCTGGCCTGAGCAAAGGCAGTGCTGGCAGCCAGGGGAAGGAAGGCCCATTCTTGCACAAATCTTCGTGCATTGGGCCTCTAGTATAAATATATGAAAGAATCTGATGTGGTTTCGGAACTTTGGGATCATTCCTACTTTGGCCCTTCTCAATTCATGAGATAATAAGCCACCTCGCTATCTAAGCTAATTTGAGTTGGTCTTCTATTGCTTAGCTGAACATATACTGATACAAGGACAGTGCCGGTGGTAGAATAGCTTTTGCCTGGGAAGGGATGACAGTAAGTATACAAACTTTAACGATCTCTGGGCGCCACTGCCCTGGCCCGGTCCACTGACCTCTGGTCTTCTAATGAGAATGAGGACCTTGTCCTGGGTGAGTAGTGATAGTGGCTTGGAACATCATCTGAATAAGTTTGAAGGATTTACAGAAGGTCCAGTCCTGGCAGCCTTGGGGTTCCGTTCACTAGACATCAAATAAGTACGTCCCTGGTGCTGGGATCATATGGATAAATCAGATCCAGTCCTTGCCTTTAAGGGGCTCACAGTGTAGTGGGAGGGACAATCGCAGGCCAGTGATGAGTGCTGTACAGTCTGCATAAGGTCCAGAGGCTGATGTGCACGGTGGCTGGATAAAACCTCACGGGGGCATTTTGAAGGAGGATGAGAGAAGGGTCAGAGGAAAACAACATTTCTAGGCAGAATGAGCAGCCTTACACTCAGGGCAGCATAGTCCTCTCGGGGAAATGACAGGTCATTGAGCGTGATGGGAACTGGGCTAGCCACTTTCAGGTCATGTGTTTCTGAGCAAATGGCTTGACCTCTCTGAGGCTCAGAATTCACATTTATGAGAAAAAGAAGAAAGAAAGAAAAATGGTTGCAAAATTAGGTAACAATATGTATATGCAAGCACGGTGCTTGGCATGTATTAGGTGCACAAGAAATGCTCGTTATTATTCATCCACTGTTGTCACATGGTTCTAATTCATTATCTTCTCTGATCCAGGTGGCTTTCTTCCCTTTCTCACTCATTCCTGAGCCTAGTAGTGAGCCCCCCACCCCCACCCCAACTCCCACAGACTTTTCCTCAGGCAGGAAACCCGAGCCCACTGCCTGGCCTAAGACGGCTTCTAGGGCTGGGTGGTTTGTGTTATTCCTTCTCTTCTCTTTCTCTCTTTTTTCCCTGAATGCAACAAAATAAAACCAAACAAAAAGCCCAACGCCTGGCGTGGCTTGTCGGGGAGTTATGCAAGTGTGTAAAAAAATAAAATAAAATAAACACTGAGTTTTCAGCATTTGGGGCTGTTTGATTAGGCAAGGAGCAGAGCCAAGGGCCAGTGAGACATAGGGAAGGCTCAGGGCAGAGGGGAGCGGGGAGGGGCTGGAGAGGGGTTTGGAGGGGGCCCAGGACCAACTCGGAAGTGGCTGTTTGCCTCCTGCAAACTTGGCAATGCTCTGGCTAACTGAGCCCAGACTTCGGGCATTTGGGACTCAACTGCTCCACTTTCTCTGGCCATCCACCCTCCTTGTTCCCTGGCCGTCCGGACACGGGAGGGGTCCTTCCATCGATGCCCCTGTCACTGTGAAAGACTCTGTGGTCTGTTCCCAGTCGTCAGGGTTGCCCCCTCCTCCCCTGAGAAGGAGATTCCACAGCCTGTCTTCATTACCACCCCCACCCCCACAATCAGTATAGCTGCTCTGCTCTAACTCACTCCTGCTCACTACAGTTTTAGCCCACTTTCCTCTCCCCTAGCTAAAAGGAAGCTGGAGAGCAGCTGGGTGCCACCCTGAGAGTGAATCTCACCTGCCTCCCTTCTTCAGGCTTAACTTCAACACCATCTGCAGGTGTCTGCAGCCCTTCAGGACTCACACACATTTATGGAGCCCCTACCATTGACCAGACAGCTGAAGCCTTTATTTCATGGACCCCTCAAAACAGATGACAACCCTGAGGCTCAGAGAGGTTGAGTGACTTCAGCACGGCCACACAGCTGGTAAATGATGGAGCGGGAATTTGAATCTAGGTTTTACTTCAAAGCCTCCCTCACTCTCCTACACCAGTTTGGTGTGGAAGTGTCTTCCCCCGGGTTCTAGGGATCCCAGAGCCTCGTGTTTTCTCTGAAGTGGGAAGATGCTCTTGAAGACCTGACCCTGAGAGGAGGAGGGCGTGGCCAGGACGACAGGCCCTGTTGCGCCGGTTCCTTGTCACTTTCCAGGATCCTGATGGGGAAACTGAGGTTTCCAGAGGCTCCTCGGCCCTGTTCTGCCCCCAGGATCCTTGGAACTGCAGCCCCTGATCTGGAGTGTGGAATCCCCGGGGTGCGGGGCGGGGGGTGGAGGGAGGAGCGAGGGCAGAGGGTCTGCGCCAGGGTCCAGAGAGCGCGCGCGCGGCTGCCAGCCCTGCGCCCCAGCTGCGGGCAAGGGCGTGCGGGAGGGGGCTACGAGCTCCCGGGCCTGGCGCTCCAGTCCGTTTTTTCCTGCGGATCCCGGGAAGGGGGGCCGGTTCGGGGGTGGGACGGCCAAGGGGGGGATTCCCTCCCTCGTGCGAGCAGAGGACTGGCCCCTCTCCCGGCTGGGAGCTGCGGCGAGCGGAGGCGCGACGGAGAGCACGAGCTGGGCGGAGAGCGGGGAGTGGACCGCCGAGCGGGGCATTGGGGAGAGCGAGGCCGAACCGAGCCGCCAGAGGACCGATGCGCCGGGTGGGGCGCCGGCCCCGGAGGGCGTGAGCGGCTCGTAGATTGAGCAACTTGGGGACCGGCGGGCGGAGCGCGGGAGAGCCCGGCGCCCGGGACAGTCGTGCGGCGGCGGGTGAGCGGGCGCGCCCTCGCCCCTCCCGAGTCTGCTACCGCCGGGCTGGCAGCGCGGAGGTGAGTCCCCCCTGAGCTGCCCGGTGCTCCTTCCTGGCGCCCCCTTCCCCGGGATCTGGGGCGCCACGGGCCCTCCCGTCGGGGCGCAGGCGAGCTGAGTTGGGGGGCAGACAGCGAGAAGGAGAGGACTTCTGGCTGCTCTCTGGCCAGCGAGGGCGGAAGAGGGCACCACTAGGAGCCCCTCCTGCAAGTCCTGCCGCCCCTCGCCCGCCCATGTCACCCCTCGAGCCAGCGGGCAGCCCCCACCCGGTTGCTGCCTCGGGTTCCCCTCAACCCCGCAGCCCCGATGGTCGTCTTCACGGGTGGTTCTGAGCGCCCCACGTCCGCCAGCCCTATTCGCACCACCCGCCATCCAGAGGCTTGGATTCCTGGTCTCGGCACCGCGGATTCCCCGATCCTCCGGCCCTTGGTGACCCCACCCCAGTCCCGCAGCTCGGCCCGGGTCCGACGTGGCAGGGGCATGCGTGGCCACCCCCTTGCACTGCGGGGTGGCGATGCTCGGTGGCCCGCGGGGTAGGGCGCTGACGGTCGCCTGGCATGGCTTGGCTGGGGAGAGGTGGATTGTGCGTTTGCCCCGGGCTCCCAGGAGGGCAACGGCGGGTTCTGGGTGCGAGCAGTTGGGTGCAGGAGTTTTCTTAAGACACTGGCCTCTGGGACTGGGAGAGTACCCTGGGATTTTGAGGGGCGGTCAGGGGACTGCAGGGCCGCCTCTCCTCCCCCTGCACCTGTCGGGCCTCTCGAGGATGGTGGAGGGCGTGAGGGGGGGGGGGACGGGGGGGGGGAGAGAGAGAGAATTTATACGCTTGGAGAGGAGATGAAGGGATGAGAAGCAGCCTTCCCGCTGCTCTCCCTTTTGGGGGGCGAGCTGGGGACAGCACCTGCCTGACAGCTCTGGGGGACACTCTCATCCCGACAGGTCCCACAGGCACGCCCTTGGTTCCTCCCCTGCCCAGCAATTCTTCGGCCTCCACCCGCCAGCCCACTCGGCGGCCAAAACTCTCCGCCGTAGCGGGTCTCGGGGAGGGCTAATGAGAAATGATGTGGATGGTTTACATTTTTGGGCCTGTGTCCGGCCCCGGATGGAATACTAATTTATCCTGATAGTGTTGCAGGCAAGAAGGTGAAAGGTATTTCAGCCCTCGGTGGGGTGGTGGGGTGGTGGGACGAGTCCCCGCCCTCAGCCCCACCCCCAGCTATGTCCCCCTCCCTAGCTCGGCCTCCTCTCTCCTCCGTCTCCTGCCCCAGGTCTGCCTCTGCCTCCAGCCCTTCCCACCACCTTCCCCAGCTCCCAGCCTCTCGCCCACCCTGCAGCTCCCCAGTCTTGAGGAGCAAACTGGCTGGTCACTGAGTGGGTTGTCACCGCAAGACCCTTAACCTCTTGGTGCCAGTAAAATGGGCAGGATTTTACTTTCCTCCCTGAGGACCTAGCACATGGCAGGTGATGGATGTGGATCCCTCACTCCCACCCTGGCGGAGACAAAATGCCCTTCCTCACCCCCACTGACGTCTGAGACCTCCATCACTGCCAGCAGTTCCCATTGCTGGCTCTGCCTGTGCGGAGGAATGGGCCTCAAAAAAAAAAAAAAAAATGAACTGCTTGTGCCATATAGCCCAAGGGGCCAGGGAAATCAGACAGAGGAACTAATAGAAATGAGGAGGAACTAATAGAAATGAGGCGGGCAGGCTGCTTAAAAGAAAGTTATCAGCTCCTCTCTCCTCTCTCAGTCTGTCCGTGTGTGTGCGCGCGCGCGTGCGCGCGCGCGCGCCCATTGTCGGTGCGTAGGGGTGGGTGATGCAGGGTTCCTAGTCTGAGACCTACCCAGCTATTGAAATCAGATTTTACGTAAAATCCTGAGTTTTCAACTTTTAAAAAAATCAGAAGCCCGGGTGATGTTGAGTCGTTACTTCTGCCTGTCTAGCGATGGGTGGCAGAGGCCAGTGCCCCTTGCTCCGGAGAAATTCAGATCTGGATCCTCCTCCCTACTTCCCAGCTGAGATCCTGGTTTGATGGTGATTCAGGTAGAAATAGACCATAAGATCCTCACTGGCCAGGACTGGGTGCACATGGCAAGAACTGGGCTGAAGCTAAGACCTGGGAGATTGGAGGTGGAGGTAGGATGGAGAGGGAAGGAGAGGAAGGGAGCTAACCTTTGCTGAGCACTGACCCTGCAGTGCCAGGTTCCATGCACGGCAGACAGAGGGCATTCAGAGAGGAGACAGGAGGCCTTTTCTGCACTCCAGACCCCAGGAGTCCTGATCTCACAGGGAGGCCAAGAAAGGCTCCCAGACCCAGGGGTTAGCACCAGGTGTGTCTGGTGTGGTCTTCTCCTCCAGGGTCTGTCAAGTGTATCTGCCTGGGGTCCTCAGACCTCAGTTTGAAAAATGCATTTATAGACTAACCCTATCACTTTGAGTGATCACTTTGGGGCCAAAGCGATCCATGATAGAGAGAAATACAAATATGGAAACTGTATAACAGGGAAGCAAAACTGTTTATATTACTTCTTAGATGACCATTGGAATGTAGGCACAAAATAAAGTCTTGGTCAATATTATTGTCTCCCCTCTGTGCCAGCCACCATTCTAAGCAGTTTCATGTATTAACTCATTTAAGCTATAAAAAACAACAACCGTCCTAGCCAGTTTGGCTCAGTGGATAGAGTATCAGCCTGCGGACTGAAGGGTCCCGGATTGAATTCCCATCAAGGGTACATGCCCGAGTTGCGGGCTCGATCCTCAGTAGGGGTGGGGCAGGAGGTGGCTCTCTCTCATCATTGATGTTTCTATCTCTCCCTCTCCCTTCTTCTCTGAAATCAATAATATTATATATATACACATATATATATATTAAACACACACACACACACAGACAACAATCCTCTTGCAAATAAGGAAACTGAGGCCCCGGCCAGTTAATCAACTAGCGCAAGGTAACAGCTAATAAGTCGGAGAGCCAACATTTGAAACCAGGCAGTCTGACTCTGAAGTTTATGCCCTTGACCATCATGCTCTATGGCCAACCTCTGAGACCATATACTTGGCACTGAAGATATCCCAGTTTGATAAACTGAAGGGGATGGAAATGTGTAGTGGGGCTGGGGAGGGTGGGAAGGCTTTAGCAGGTCGTGCAGGGAGTGCTGGAGGGGCAGGTAGGGGCTGGCAGCTGACAGGCATTGGGGGTGGCTGGCCCTAGCACCAGGTGGGATCCATCAGCCTTGTGTAAACACTTCTCACAGGCAGCTTAACCACTTGAGTGTGTCTGGCCTTCAAAGCTGGTGGGAGAGGCTGAGGAGGGAGGTGCTAAGCTCCCTGTGAGATAATGATTTATCTCCCATGCAGGTGGGCTCTCCTGGGGCCTCCCTGAGAGGCCCAGGGGGAGAGGATTGGGACAGGGACTGCCAGGGGCACCTCCACTCCAGCAATGCAGATTTCTCATCTGTAAGCCCAAACTCAGCCAACTCTCAGAGCAAGCCTGTGAAATAGGCCTATCTATCCCCATTTTATGGATGAGGAGACTGAGGTTCAGAGAGGCTGTGACGTGTCCAACGATCTCTAACCCGTGGATGGGAGGGTGATACCTCCCTGGCATCTACAAAGCTTCCTGAAGGCTCGCTGCTTCCTCCTGTCCCTGCGTGAGGGTGGGTGGGTGGGGGGCAAGGCGTGGGCTGGCCTCTGCTGTGTGTTGGGAGCACGTGTTCCTGTGAGTGTGCAGCGGGGTTTCATCCTCTGACTCCCAGGTTGGGCTCCAACTTCCCAGACACATTTGTTGGGGAGGGGCCAGCTCTCCCTGCCCCCATCACCAGCCAGCAGTCCAGAGACCTGGCTCTTCCTGGGCTGGGGGATTATCCCCATTCTCTGGGTCTCTGACCAGGGCGGGCATAGCTGCCTCTTTTATCCTCTCACAAAGGCCAGGCCCGCCAGGCCTGCTGTGTCAGAGTTTCTGTGGCCCGGGGAAGCCTTACTTCCTTTCCTCTCGCCGAGCCCAGAGGGCCACGCAGAGTCTGCCGGCTTGTCCTTGTCGGGGCCACTGTTCTAGCTCCAGGACAGGTGAAAGGCACAGGGGTGACTCAACACCAGGAAAAGAAGGTAGAGGGGTCACTCACAGAAGGACAGAGTGCTCATCTTCAAGGGACACCCTATTACTGCAGCATGAGGTCTGTGGAGTGGACCTAAAGGCTTTCCGTCAGAGCTGGCCAGTACTGGGCAGGGGTGGGGCCAGCTGGTCCCCAGTGACCCACAAGCTTGGTTTGAGGGTCCACTGTGTTCCAGCTGCTTGAGTAGCCAGCTCTAATCCCCTGGAATTCTGCAACACAGGAAAGGGAGCAGATTTCTTCTATAGGGGTGCCCGGTGGGCAACTTATAATGTCCAAACATTCTGAGTCCTCATAGTCTCCTTGACAGGAGACACCATGGGATGGTAGGAGGCATAAGTTGGGGGGTCCGCCCTGGCCCCTCAGAATTAATCCTTCTCTCTCCTCCCCCAACAGGTTGGGTTTTGGAGGTGTCCCTGATGAAGTGACAAATTCTGCCAAGTGCCTTTGAGGAAAGCTCTCTGGACCTCCTTAGGGGCCGATAGAGAAGTGGACTCCCCAGCGGAAATCATGGTGGAATTGGGACACGGCCCAGGCCTGGGCCTCCTGCTGCTGACCCAGCCCCGGAGGCGTTAGCAAGAGCCCTGCGCCATCCATCACCCCAAAGACCACCCCTCCTGCCAGGGGCCTGGAGCTGGCGAGTGACTATGCGGCTTGGGCTGTGTGTGGTGGCCCTCGTTCTCAGCTGGATGCATCTCACTGCTGGCAGCCGGGGGATCAAGGGGAAGAGACAGAGGCGGAGTGAGTAATGACGGGGCTGGACCAGGGAGGGCCTTGGAGCTAGGGGCATGGTCGGGGGCTACCTGGGGGACCAGAGGGCCTTCGGTGGCTTTGTTCTGTGATGACCATTGCCGATTTGTACTCGTGTAGAGTACTCGATAGATTATCCCGTTTGTGGATTATCCAGTTTGTGGATTAATGTGTTGAGATGGTGCACTCTGTAGATTTTCCCCTTTGTAGACTCTGCTTCCTAGATTAACCCCTCTCTTGTGAGGATCCAGTGTGTGGATTATGCCCTCTGACATCATAACACCAGCTTTGTGTGGTATCCATGGAGATGATCCCCCGTCCCCCTGCTCCAGGATGCCTGGTTCCCTCCTCACTGACAGCTCAGGGCCCTTTCTTTCAGTGGGAGCTGAAGTGTGGCCTCAACCCCTTTGGGCCAGGAGTTCTGCCCACCTGGTGGTAGGCAACAGCCTTCCCTGCCCAGATGATGGGGCAAGCACGGTGGAGCTGGGAGCTCATGAGACTGTCCATGCCTACGGTGTTGAACCCTGCCCAGGGGGAGTCTAGGAGTTGCCCTGGGGGAAGGAAGGGGAGGCAAGTGGGCAGGAGTCAGGCCCTACCACCCTTCCAACCAGAGCAACTTTGCTTTTCCCTACGTCCTGTAAGATTCCACATAAGATATCATTGGAAGAAAGAGTTCTCAAAACAAAATAAAACCATCATTGTACAGATGGGGAAACTGAGGCGAGGAGAGGGGAAGAGATGACAGTCCTAAGGACACACCTACTTCCTGTGAGCCCAGGCTTCTTGGAAACAGAGCTTGACAGAGTTCAAGTTGAACTTGTCCACACTGCCCTCGCTGTCCCTCACGGAGTCCCTCAGAGTCCCATTCTAGGTGCTCCCAAGAGCAGGTCCTCTAGCCTCTGCCTAATGCTCCCAGTGATGGGGGCTCTGTACCTGCGGTGGTTGTGGGCACTGCCTGTGAGAGATGCATCAGGAGGGAGGTGTAGGCCTGTGTTACAGACCTGAGGCTCCACCCCAAGGTTTGTCTTTCAGCATCCCCATCAGAGATGTCACGTACATGGGCAGGCAGCCCCTCTGAGGCCTGGCCCAGCCCCTTCTTGCTTCCCTTTTGAGGCCCGGAGACCCAGGCTGCCAGTAAAGGTCGAAAGGCAGAGGAGTGTGGTTAGTGTCGATGGGAGCAGCCAAGGGCAGAACCCAGCCCAGGACAGAAGCTCAGAGAACTGGTGAAGCTGAAAATCCCTAGCTTAACAAACAATTAGAGACGGTTAGGTTTAATTAGCATCGAAACCTTGATTTTTCCTCCCTTCTCATCTGTCGCAGCCAGCATTTTGGACTCCATGGGCCAGATGCAGTTTAGCGGTTTATAATACGTCCTCTATTTCCAAGATGAGAGAAAGAGTATGAGTGGAGCCACTCACACTCGTGTGATGTGCATTAGTGATCACACTGTCCCTCACATGTGCAGAGCCACACACCCACCTAAACCAGAGGTCAGACTTGTTGTTCTAAACTTGGTACTAAAAAGAAAAGCACTGGCCTGGCCATCAGAAAGGGCCCAGCCCCAGCCATGACCAATCGAATACAGCAATTATGACGCTTTTGATATAGCCACATCCCACAGCCTTGGCAGCAGTAACCCAGTTTTTATTACCAAGTGGTGTGTGCCAGACATCCTTGATCGGGAGATATGAGGATGGGGTAAGGTGAGGGGAAAGGTGCAGTGAGACTCTAAGAGGCACATGAGCTTGTGGAGAGAGGAGTGTGCATGTTCCTAGGCAGTACTGCTTAAAGAATAACCATAAAGCTACAAGTGTTGTTGTATAGGAATATAGTGAGGCTTACGTGAGATGATGTGTACATGTAGTGAATCCTTTGTGAAATATCAAGCTCTCTGTTGACTTCAGGAGGCATGTGATTGTTACATAAACAATGTGTGGACCATTTTGCCCTAGGGTGTCCTGGGAAGTGGGGGGGCGGGGAGAGGAGCCAGACCATGTGTTGGCTTCTCTGGCCTCCTGACCACGTGGAAGGGCACTGGGCAGCCTTCAGGGCCGAGGCAGGCTTGCTATGAATATGAGTCTCAAGTCTGTTGACTCTTTCCAGCATCCTGTGACTGAGTGTCGATAGGGCCACCAGAGAAGCCACCCGATATAATTCTGATCCGAAGTCACACACAAGTTTTGAGCCCAGAAATGGCTGATTTCGGGTAGGAGTGATGACCTCCCTGCATTGAGGGGCAGAAGTCAAGCAAAGAATTCTTTTTTTTTTAAAGCTCATTTTAATTTTATTTTTTAAGATATATTTTTATTGATTTCAGAGAGGAAGGGAGAGGGAGAGAGAGATAGAAACATCATGATGAGAGAGAATCATTGATCGGCTGCCTCCTGCACGCCCCACACTGGGGATCAACCCACAACCTGGGCATGTGCCCTGACCAGGAATCAAACTGTGACCTCCTGGTTCATAGGTCAATGCTCAACTTCTGAGCCACATCGCCTGGCCGAGCAAAGAATCCTTTAGCTATGAGTTATGAACCCTCAAAGGGCGTCCTTCTCCTCTTCTCCTTACCGAGGACACGTTCCCACATCAAGTCTCCTGTTCACTCACCCTCACTAGCACCCACCCTCTCCTGACCACCTTCCCACCTGCATTTCCTGCCCCTCATGGAGCCCTCACTCCTTCACCATCCCTCACATTGAGTGCCCCTCCCTCACTGAGACCCTTATCCTATCAGATTCCTGGGCCCCTTCGTTCAGTTCTGTCCCCATAAAGCCCCCATTCCTTCCTTGACTCCTCCAGAAGCTGCCCCCCTTCTGTCCTTTCTCACAGGCCCATCCTCCATCTGGAGCTTTTGTCCCCTCTTGCACTGACCATCACTAGTCCTTCTTCCCTCACTGAAGCCCATTCATTCCATGGGCCATTCCTCCAACACTCAACCTATGGAGCGTGGCCTTAGTCATAGAAAAGAATCCTGGAGAAGGGGGGGAGGGGAAGTACAATTTCGATCTCATGTCTCCATGCTACAACAGGATGAAGGTGGAGAGCTGGGAGGGCCCAGAACCAGTACCTCTGAGTTGTGTTTTTAGAGACCAGTAGACAATCTCTAGGCAAGGGGTGGGGAGTGGATGAGGGTGAGGGCATTCCAGGCAGAGGGGCCAGCGTGTGCACAGGTGTGGACTTGCGGGGAGGCAGAGACTGTGTGCTCAGGAAATGGAGTACAGCTAGGAGTCATAGATGGAGAAATGGTTTCTAAGTGGGGTCCTGGGGGAGCTCTAGGGTTTTAACTGGGGAAGCTGTGCTCATATCTATTTTATACATGGAGGGTCTTTCCTATTAAAAAGAAGGGTTGTGCTGCTAAAACGAACAGCCCAACACCTCTCAGGACAGAGCACAGACAGCTGCCTGGGGCCTAGGGAGTGTTTTAGGGGGATGATGCTCCAGAAGTGGCAGAGGTCAGATGGTGGGGAGGGGCGCTTTGTATTCTCCAGGCTGAGGAGTCTGCACTTGACCTGCCTTGAGCTATGGGTAATGAGGAGCTATGGGTAATCAGGGGGGCAGCAGGTCCAGCTGCTCACCCGACAGAGGGGAGGTGGCTTGAGGTGGGAGGTAAACAGATTAGTTCAGAACGCATTTGGGCCCAGGTGAGAAAAAGTGAAGGTCTAAACTAAGCTCCCAGCTGAGTTAAAGAATGCTGGATCTTCCCAGGGGGCATACCCGGGGATGACCTTGGGCACCAGGAAAAGATGTGTCTCCTGGGAGAGTGTGAAGCCTGAGAAGGGCCCTTGCCCACCCCCTCACTGAGGCCCCATTCCCTGTCACCACCACCCCCACCCCTACCAACTTAACCCCCACCAACTTACTAAATCTAGTTCCTCCCAGGCTAGATACCACCCCAATACCAAGGGCATCCCTCCTCGGGGTCATGGTGAGTTCCTCTCCACCCCTCATTGACCTTCAGCCAACCCACCCTGAGCCCCCATTCCTATCCAGTCCCTCTCCCCACACTCTATCTATCAAACACTCAGTGAGCTCCATTCATATACCTGCCTCTCTGAGCCTCTGTCTCACTCACCACATCCTCAGCCCTACATTCTGGTGGGGACCCACATCCTTTCACTGGGCTCCCATTCAAAAATAAGAGAGTCTCCGCCCTCCAAAGCTCTTTCTAATGGGGAAAAAAGACATTTTAGAAGATTTTAATGGCACATGGTGATGTCTACCACGATGGCTTTAAGTATGGGGGCCGTGGGAACACAGAGAAATACTCCATCCAGACTCTGCAGGGAGGCAAGATCAGGAGAGACTGCCTGGGGGAGGTGACGTTAGTTCTGAGGCTAAAGCTTTTTAGGGGAAGTGGAGGAGCTGAGTGTAGTTCTGCGGGCGTAGGGAGCTATTGAGGGATTTTAGGCAGGGGTGTAACACCCTCAGTTTTGGTTTTAGGAAGATGAGTAACTGGGAGAAAGGTCAGTGGCCAGAAGCCATTCTTCAAGGAGGCAGGGGCGCTGAGCCACCCTGGGGCAAGACCTGTTTATAGGGACATGAACTTGAAGGGTTTTGGGCAAGGATGAAGGAGGCGGAGAAGCAGCAGAGGAAGTGAGGAGGGCACGTTCTCCTTGCCTTCCTGGCTCAGGGAGATGGGCTTCACTGAGTGCTCCGGAGCAGAGTGAGAAGGGGGTGGTGGAGGGCAGAGCTGTGTGAGGAGGGTTTGTGAAGGAGGGAAGAAGGCGCGACCCCCTTTCTGAGCCCCACCCTCCACTGAGCCCACCCAACCTCCTTGGCCAAGCTAGAGCCCTGCAAGACGATTCCTCTACATGCCCCCCACCAACCCCCATCATAGACACAGGAGCTGGAGGGAGCCTAGCAAACTGAATCTGGCCGTGCCCTTCTGTGGTCCCTTTCCCTGCCAGCAGAATAAAGACCCATTTTTTAAAAAATATATATATATTTTTATTGATTTTGTACAGAGAGGAAGGGAGAGGGATAGAGAGCTA